TGGGGGCTGCACGGGCTGGGGGCTGCATGGCTCCGGGAGTCCTGAGCTGCTCCGCTTGGCAGGGGCACAGGGCTGCCCACCCACGTGGCAGCCCTGTTCTGACCCATGCTCCAGGATTTACCTTGGAGAGGGATAAATCATAATGCTCAAAACAGGAGCGTGTTCATTTGTAAATCCACATCATCTCCTTGCCTGCAGGCAGGTTAGGGATTTCACATCAAGAAAGGAACTGAGAGCCCTGAAAACACTGAAGGCTAATCAGACAGCACAAGAGGAGCTTTGGCCCCATCTGCAGCAGAGAAGCAAGCTGGCAGAGCCTCTTTGAAAAAATCCAAACTGCTAGCTGACCAGTCCTATCTTTTCAGGTTGGCAAAGAGCCTTGAGGAGTGCCCAAAGTGTCCTGAGCTCCACCCAGCACAGGTGGACCATAAGCCCACAGCCCCATCTCCCTCGCCACGGCTGCTCCAGCGGGAGGCTGCGGGACTGGGAAGGGCACAGCAGGGCTTACCCTTAATATCCAGCAGAGAAAAATGGTGGCTGTTGGTGGCTTCAGGTGCCAGAGTGAAGTAGAAACGATGGTCGCTCTGAGGTTCATCACGGTCCACAACGCTTATCGTGTGGATCAGCTGCAGGGAAAAAGCAGAGTTAAGAACCAGTGCTGCCTCCACAGCCCCTCCCACGGGCCCCACTCGCAGAGTCTGGCCCAGCAGAGCACCCCTGGCTTCTGCCACAGCCAGAGATGAGCCTGTGCTCCTGTAGATGGGCTTAGCTATAGGACACCATGAAAGTGGTTCCCAGCGTGACAGCAGCTGCGCGGGGAGGGTTCAGGCAGAAGGGGAGGGATGGGCAGGCTGGCACTGGTCCAGAGTGCTGCTCACAGCATCAGACTGCTGCGGGTGCTGATGGAAACCCTGGAGAAGGCCTGGGGGACACTTGCTACCTGGCCTGGCTTGGCATCCTCACACACAGCAGCCTCATAGGGGGTGGCGAGCTCGGGCGGATTGTCGTTCACATCCAGGATACGGATACGGAGAGAGGCTCTTGACACCTGGGAGTGATTATCTGAAACAAAAAAAAAGAACAGAGCTTCATCAGGAAGTGCCATCTACTGCTAGCAGGGAGCAAATCCTCCTCGTCTCTCCGCCCAGCGGCCATCGGAGCCACGCATCTGCTGCGGGCACAGAGGGGGGCACAGCACCACGCCTCTGCCCGCCAGTGGTGCAGATTTGGCCCACAGAGCATTGCTCAGCCTTGCCACACCCCTGTTCCAGCAAAGAAACACAACTGCTGGGCTGTGTACCAAGGGCTGGCCTGACCTACCCCTGGAAGCTAGGCAGCCCTGAGGAAGTCCCTACAGCAAGAGTCAGTCAGCACTGATGAGTACCTGTGCTGCAGCCAGGCAGCACCAAGAGGGAACAAGCAAATTCAGATGCACGAAGATCACACCCTGACTTGGATCCTGACTCTCACCCCAGGGGCCAGCAGCAATGGTGAGAGGCAGGTGAGCAGAGGTGGGACTGGAACAGCTGGGATCAGCTAAGAGCACAGGGTGGTGACGAAACCCATCACGCTCCTGGGCGAGTGGGGCTGAACGCTCCCTGCCGAGGCTCACGCCCTGGACCTGGCACACCAACACCAGTTCCTGCATTGCCATCAGCAGCCTGAGCTTGAACCTAGCACTGTCTGATAACTGGCACAGGGGGTCACACAGCAAGACCTAGGGCATCCCCTTCACTCCTGCATGTGCCAACCTGTGCCTCGTGCAGGCAGCGGCGCTGGGAGGCTCACAGCCCCATTCCCTCCCTTGTGCTGGGCTAGGGCTGCACCCACTGGTGCTGCCTGGGCTCTCTCTGCTATAGTCCATTCACTGCAGTGCTGCTCTACCCCACACACGTGCTGCAAACATATCATTGTGCCCTCGCTATAAGATTATAGATCACCCTGGAGGGCCTAATGTTTTCTGAAGCACCTCATGTACCTCCAGAAATGAGAACTCCCTCTTACTCCATCCCCTTTGTTTTACTCAGAGGTTGCAACTGTGATGGACCCGCTGCCTCTCTCCTTACTCAGGCAGGAGCTCTGCTGCCTCTTTGTCTATAAAAATGCTGGCCCACACAGATCAGGTGGGGGAGGACCCAGGGGAGAGCAGATTTAGTTCTGCTCCATAATTAGCCACGAACCTAAGCCCCCTCCCCAGAGCTGCCTTCACCCCATTCTCATGTTATCACTCCCTCTCACCCAGAGCAGCTGCTCTGGTGATCAGATGGCTGTTTGCAAGGGAGGGAGGCAGAAGTCGTGACTAAAAGCCTGGAACCGTGTGTTATTTTAAAAGACGTGTTGGTGCAGTGAAATAAGCTGAAATTGCTTTTGGGGAGAGAGAAAGGGGGAGGCAGTAGGGTGGAAAGAGAGCCCAGAGGAGGCAGAGGGGTGCGTCTGATGCCCACCAGGGCCATAAACAAACAGAAGGAAAAAGGGTTCGGTTCCTGCGAGAAGGACGACAGCATCTCATCACCACCTCCTCAGATGGATAACTGTCCCTGCTGCTCAGCTCTGAAGCAAACTGGCATTGCCCTGGAGGCACTGCCAAGAGAAAGAAAGAAAGATAGATATAGGAGGATGAGACCAGGAAGAGAAAGAGCCCAAGAACCCATCTCTTCCCCTTCCTAACTGCAAAGTGGAGGAGCTGTTTCTCCCTCGATGCCCCACGGTGCCCAAGCCCACAGTGAGCAGGAGCTAATGTCGGTGCTGCCAGACCCTGCAGGGCTTCTGGGCATGGTGTGTGCCACAGAGGCTCTGTGGGACCAGGTCAGGACACCTGAGGAAGCCTGACTGTGACAGCATCCTTCTGAGATGCTTACAGCCTCCTCAGACGGGCTGCAATCCGCACATTTCAGACGGGGCATGACCATAGGTTTACTCTCTTCACCAGTGAGCAGCTGCCAGGAGCATTTTATGCTTTGCACGTGAGTCACCCATGCAGCACGGCACAGTGCTGAGGACCTGTCCAACCCCTCTGCCAGAGCCAGAACTATCATCCCATTGCCCTGAGCACAGCTCAAAGCACAGCTGTCCTTTCTAAATGCACCTTGTCATTAAAAAAAACCTCTCCTTTTGCCCCTTCTGAAACTGTGGAAACTCGAGGCTCATGCTTACTTCTGGCTCAGTGACAAGGTTAAAATTTGATGTCTCCAGGAACATCAAGGTTAGAAATACAACCACTGCACTGTCGTCTCCTCTTCCAGTGAGTCAAACATTGGCTTCTTCTTATTTGGGCAGCACCATGATGTATTTGAAGGTTCCTCCAATGCTTTCTGTATCAACCTCCCTCTTCCTTGGTGTCAGTAGTTGGATTTAAGGGTGGAAATATGAAAAATGGTTGGGTGTATTGGAAAAAAAGTTATGTCCAAAATGCCTCTGAAATACATTTTCTGTAACTCTATGGCATAAACTGAATTTCTGGTGGTCTGAAGTGGGATTAAGATTGGAGCATACCTGTGATGAAAGGCACGATGCACCTAACACAGACTCCACACCTGCAACACCAGCAGCTCTGACCTGTGCCTCCTCTACACGCTCAGAACTGTACGCACGCACCCCTGGACGTGCTCCAGCCCACAGAGTTAAGTTCTCAGCAGAAAGAGCTGCAGATGGGGTGAATGAGGGCTGCTGGAAGGTACAGAAACACGCTCTTAAAGGGCTCTGCTAAGTAGCACCCGGACGCTGGACAGACAGAGGGTTGCATGTGCCAGGCTGAGTGTGACTGGAAAGGAAAAAAGCGATCTTCCATTGCAGTGTCTCTCCTTGGTATTCCAGCTCAGAAGACTGACATGCAAATTAGTTTAATTATTTCTTCTTCTAAAATAAATTATATTTTGCAGTGGCTGCAATATGTTGTGTCAGGCAAAATTACATTCAATATTTTTAAACTAATTGATGTCAGCCTTGAGAAAACCTGATTGACAGCAGCGAGGAAACTAGGCTGCTACCTAAACGCTTTCCTAAATTAAAATTAAACATGCCGTTTTTCTGCATTTCCTTCAGGAGTTGGAATACCATTAATCTGAAAAGACTGAGGAAAGACATGGAACATACACGGAACGGGGGGGAGATGCTGGAAACACAGCGGTGCAGTACAGGAGCTCCAGGCTGCTGACTGGCAGCTGCCTCCCACGGGGGCCCGCGTATTTTTGTG